TATAATGAAAAGTTATAACTGAGAGTGAAGCAGGTCTCTCCATCTCCTCACTCTGAAGTCAAGGCAGAGTCCCCAGGGAGTCTTAACAAATGGAGGAAGCTTTTACCCTTTAACCAGACACATATCCTTAGAATACACATTTCCTGTCAATCAGCTACCAGCTTAGGAGCTCCAGCATGTCCTGCGGACAGAATGACAGACATTCTGTTAATGTTGTTAATGTCCCTATGATAAAACCCATGTAAGATAATGATGCTGGGCTTTATGACCCTTTGGACACTCATCATACTATCAATTCCATATAGGACTATAGTTTTTAATAACAACCTCAGATCAGCTGGGAAGTGACTCTCATAATCAGCATTTCCCTACTCTATGGTACCTGAACTGTAAGTACTGGCAGTGTGAGGACAAGTTGGAAAATTTGTTTCAGGTATTTGACAGATAGAAATGTCTCAAACCCTCACATCCTCACATAATATTTTTATAACTCAAGTGAAGCTTAGTGCTCCCTACTCAAGGACTGCAGTACATTGCAGCTTGACTGTCCTCATAAGATCATGAAGCAAACATTGGTCTTAAGGCTGTTATTTTGTTTAGTGAAGAAACACGGATGAATACAGGACCACTGAGAAAGTTTGAGGTCACTAACTCTGTGTTTATGGGGAGAACAGTGTGTCAGTGATCTCCACTTTCCTTTCCACAAGATGCTCAGCTTTGATCCACACACTCCGGTCCTAATTTTATGCCTCACAACAGTCTCACATCGGACCTTACTCCCATGTAGCAGAGCTTTCAAAACTAAGCCAACATTAAACTCATTATTTCCTTTTCCTCTCCTGATTGCAAACCAAGGTTTTACCCTTTCAATGCAATTCAAAGCAAGAGATGCTTAAATTAATGCACAGATGAACACTGCAACACTAACTTCATTGCATGAAAGTGAGATTATTTGCATGACCATTTTTCCAACTCTGTGATTAATGTCCCTGGGAATTTGACATAGATTGCATTCTTTAATCATACTGTTACCACAGCCTGCATGGTTATATTAACTAGGGGGTGTCAAAGTTTTTTTTTTCCCTCCTTGATTTTCTTCAACTTCATTATTCAATGTCCCAACAATTTCATTGTAGGGGTCTTTAACTTTCTTGTTTAAACTGGTTCCTAGATACTGTGTTTTGAATTTGTTAATGGAATTTACACTGACTTTTTTCTTTGTAAGTTTATTTCTATTTCACAGAATACCTATTGATTGTGGAATGTTGACTTTATATCATGATCTTTGTTTATATCCTGCTGTTTCCTGAAAGTATTTTCAGATCTAAGAGTTATTTCGTCTAGTGTTCCGAGTATTCTAAGTATAAGAACTTGGTGTGGTAATTTGACTTCATGATATGATATTTTATATCCATTGTGTTTATCCCTCTTGCTTCTTTCCTATGCTTCATGTTTGAGAATTACAATGAATAAGAGAGAGCAAACATGCAACTTTTTCTCCTTCAAGATGTAAGAAGCAATCCTCTGATTTTCCCCACTTAGGATAATTGCAATTTTATTTTTATCATTCATAATCTTTGTTTTATCTTGTTTTACTGTATGCTTACAAATTTCTTTCAAAACCTTTGTTTCATTATCATCATCATTATTATTATCCAATCCCATTGTCAAATGGCTTGTCAATCAACTAAACACTGTCTAGCAGACACACGATAAAAAATGTTTTGGCTTAGAACTGCCCATATCTGTCATTCTCTCATCTTCTACCACTTCTGTTGCTATCAGACCCTTGATCTCTTGATCATTAATGTTCTTCCAGTGATGGAGACCTAGATCTATGCTTCTTGATCTGGCACCCACACAGATCCTTTAGGAAATGTTCTAGATGCATGAAACACTAGAAGCCTCTCCTGTTCACTCTCCCATTTCAAATGGAGGGAGCAGGCTTTTCTAGAAGTTAATGAAATGACACCCAGGAAAACTGTGTGTGGACCACCTGTGTATTAAACCAAGGTTATTCAAATTCTTCAAAGCCTTCTCTGTATCCTCTTCAAGAAGAACCTGGACACATATGTTCCAACAGAGTGGGCTCTCACACAGTTGTAGATCTTCATCTTAACCAATACTTTCGATCAACATTAGTAGAGACTTTGTCAAATAACCCATCACAGTGCTCCTGTGTCTCCATGCCATTCACAGATCATTGTGAACTATCAGTTGTCTGTGCACTGATTCTGGATTTGTTTATTGTTTTCAATCAATATGGTCTGTCTCTGAGTCAGTTTATTGTGCAACTGAAAATATCTGTCTCCATGATGTCAAGCTCTTTGTCTGTCTTGGTGCTGACAATAGAAACCAAGTATTCAGTCTTTCTTCAGTGGAAGTTGCACATGCCAATAACTGTGCTATATGTTATTAGTTATATTCAAGAAAGATCCTTCTACTTCTGCTCCATTCAGGGATTATATGAGTTCATATGAGTGTTCTGCATTCCCAAAGATTAATGTTGGATTACAATAGATACTTCTGGTTTTGAGCCAACCTTTCATATCTGAATTGAAACCATCATGTTTAAAGTGTACAGAACTTTTCATATTTTCTTAGATTTCCATCACAAATATTAGAACATTTTTATGATAATCAGAGAAATTGGTCTCTCCTTTCTGGCTTTTCCCCCTTTTAATCTTTATTTTTGTAATCTGTGTAATGCTTTCTACATGTCATGAGTCTGGTGTTGTTCCTTTTTTTAGTGGCCTGAATGAGTTCCAGGAGTGTTAATGCCAACTCTTCATTAAAGGTCTGTCTGAATTCTTAAATATCCATAAGTCTTTTTGCTTCAATCTTTTTAAAAATAAATAATTTATAATATAAATTTAAAATGTTGCTCAAAAAAATGAAAATGATGATTTTTACTCCACTCCCAGAAAGAGACTACATTACAAAATGCTGACATTAAGACAATAGTTATATGTCCTGTATTTAAAATATGTTATCTTTCATGAATTTTGCTTATGAGCTCACTAAGACTCAATCACCTGCCCCTTATGAAAAGTTCCATTTTACAAGGATTACCTTTGAATTGCATTTATTTTTATGTGCAGTAGGAATGTATTAAAAACCAAATGTGCTATTAAAGTAAAATATATTAGAGAGACTTACTGACAGATTTTTCTTTTACATTTTAAAGTGGCTAAAAAACTTAATTTACTATGAAGCTCTTATCACACTCTCTAGTGCTACGAGGAACCAGATGTCATCATATCACCTGCACCTTCCACAGGGTTCAGCAGCAGCACACAGTGCAGACACCAAATGTGCTTCCATGGACAGTGCCCTCTCCAGCAAGGGGGTGTAAGACAGACTGGGAGAGATGCTTGAAAACAAGCAAGCTAAAGCTTTGATGGGACACTATCACACATTTATATTCTCTACTTTTAAAAATGTGATTATAAAATAAACTAGCTACTTAATACATATTTTTTTTTATTTTTTTCAATTGGACAGAATAATCCTTTTTCAATGGAAAAACTAAAACTTCTTATATTAATTACTACTTTAGACTTGCCTAAAATAAGGACTATCATTTACTATCCCTGGACTATCTTATTGGATACAATAATCTAACCCATTACTTGTCATTTTATATCAAGTCCAAAAAGACCAAGAGAACTCGCTGTTTCCCTGTACAGAAACTACAACTGTCATCTAAATTACTGAGGATGTTCTATAGCTCAGCTGATAGTTCCTGAGATTGTTCACACTAGGAGGTCCACATTTCTCCACCCATTTCATGAAAATGGCTGATTTTCTCTCATATAAAAAATGTAATGTATACATCTAATGTACAAAATGTGACTGAAGATGAATTCTTCTCTTTTTCCACTGTTACCTAGGACAAAGAACTTTTGGGGTAAACCTTTCTAATCATGGTCTTCTGATATGATGGAACCTGCTCATGAGTCAGCTAAAATGTTATTCCTTAATTGTTTTTCTTAAAATACACCATCATGAATGTTCTTTTTCCTGTTAGTTCAGGGCATTTTCCTTACAGTACATTGGTCACCACTCAAAAGTGATAGAGGCAATGGCAGCAACTTGGAGCTTTGGATTGCCTGCGAACATGACAGAAATAGTCTTCTGGGAAGAAGTTTCTGGGAGGCCTCAGAACTTCATTTTACAGAGAAGGGGGATGTAAAGGATGTGGGCAGTGGCTTTCTCATCACATAATATACATTATACAGCACAATTCTATTATAAAGTTCCCAGCACAAGTCTTAGTTATCATTGGTTGCAGGACAGTCCTATCAAATAGGTCCTAGTACAATATCTAATTACCATTTTGGCAACACAAATACATCTTCTGCAAAGAACTGTGTTAATGGTCACATTAGAGATAAATTAGACATTTGGGACAAGAGACAGTTCTGAATAAGGTCAGGGGTAGAACAGGGTGCCTTACACTAGGGAGGCAGGTGTGTTGGAGGGACTCCTCCATGTTTCCAAGCTCAGAGAGAGATGTCAGGTTATGGTAGACTGAAAGCTCCAACCAGCAGGGCCTCTCACCATCTTTCCAGGTTTTTTTTTTTTATGTAAACCTTGTGTCCCAAATATGATGGTACCAGAAGTCCAGAACTACAGAAAGATAAATCCTTTATACTCAAGCAAAAGAGTCTGTGGTATTGAATTACAAAAGACATAGAAAGATAATACTGAATTCTCCTCTGCATTTTCATGTACAGGATTTTCATACCAAAAGAATTAAGAGATATTTAAACCCTATATCTTCCTCAGCTCTAAAAATGTTTTGATCAGAGTTTTAGGCACACTTCGGAAGAGAGAAGTGTGCAGGTGCAGGGCAGCCTGTGGTGCAGGCAGCTGTTGAGACTCACAGAAGTTTATGTTGAGGGTGAAGCACTGTGGGAGGAAATTTATACAGCTGTAGGCAGTAGTAATCTGGACACTGCTTATTGTGAGAGTGAAGTCTGTCTCAGATCCACTGCCTATGAAGCAATCAGGGGCCCCAGAATCCCGAGTGGATGCATAGAAGATTAACTGTTTTGGAGCATGCCCTGGTTTCCACTGGTACCAGTTCAAGTAGTTCTTCTGATCTTTACTGTATGAAAGACTCTCACTGTACTTGCAGCTGATGGTGACCTTCTCTCCTGGTGAAACAGCCATGGAGGATGGAGACTGGGTCATTATGATATCAGCACAGGCACCCACAAAAGAATACAAAATACATTGTAAACTTTTTATATACAAAGTAGTGACTATGAAAAGATCATAACACTTTTAAATTTCTTACCAGACACCCAGAGCAGCAGGGACATGAGGACCTGTGTCTGTGACTCCATCTTGCTCCTCCTGCCTATCTGATGCAGCTCAGTTCTCACTGTAAAAGTCTGGTTTATAAATGCTTAGCAGCTGGGCTGGCAAGGAAGGGTCCATGCAAAGCAGTCAGCAAATACATAAGGAAATGTCTGAGCATTGTGTGTGAGTGAATGGCTAGTGACCATCATTAGACAAAAATAACACCACAGGCAGAATGATCACTGAAATACATCAGCTTATAGCTCTCCAACAGAAATCTATTAGGTATTCTAATAACAACTTTGTCTTAAAACCAAGACACATTAAACCAATTTGCTTTTACAGAAATGTTATAAGAGCTATCTCAGATTAACAGCACAAGGGAAATGGTAAAATATGCTCAAAAATTCACAACAGCAAAAGAAACTTAGAGTAAGAAAACATGAAGCAAAAGAAGTGATGATTGGAGAGGGGAAAAGTGGAAAAGCATGTAAGAACAAATTGAGGCTAAATGGGTGTGTTATCTCTCATGTGTAAAGTCACTCTTATGCTGAGTTACATTGGGCTCCAGGTTCCAGACTAATAGAGGAATAGAAATACAAAGAGCAGCCCAGATTTCACTCTGTGGAAATCCTGGGGAACATTAATTTAAGATTGCAATGAGAAAAGTGTTCACCTCAAAGCAAAGGCAAACCCAACAGGAACAAAAAAGGTATCCTCCCCACAACATCAGGAAATTGAAACAGGACTCTAAGTTTGGAAAGATTGAAGGGAAACAAAATGGAGTGGATTTTTTCAAGTAGTCATCGCTGTAATTCTTGCTTGATAACTGTTTTGTTGTAAGTAATTTTACTATGTTAAAGATAAAACCTTTCTTTTCATTTAAACAGAAAAGGGGCGGTGATGTAAGAGTCTCCTCTGTGTGCTGTGATTACCATTAATGAATTAAAAAAAACTGTTGTGGGCCTATAGCAAGGCAGAACTTAGGTAGGTAAAGAACACTATGCTGAATGTTTGGAGGAAGAAAAGCAGAGTCAGAGAGACGCGATGGAGCCTCCACCAGAGATAGACATTCTGAAACTTTGCTGGTAGTCCTCAACCTCGTGGTGATTACAGATTACTATAAATTGGCCAAATTAATATAAGAGTTAGCTAATAAGAAGCTAGAGTTAATGTTCCAAGCTGTGATTTAATTAATACAGTTTCTGTGTGTTTATTTCATGGCTTGGCAGCTTGTAACAACCAAGCATGCTCTGTAGAATAAATTTGTGCTCACATGGAAAACTAAAATTCACTTATTATTTTGAGTCTAATCTTGCTGGGAAGCAGGAAGAACAAGCCCCTTCCCCTAACATCTGTCTTCATGCTCATGAAGGACCTTACTTTATGTTTGTCATATATTATTTTATGAAGATCTTTGTTAGTATTTATATATTACTTGCAGTAGATCCTGATTTTTCAATAGCTGTGCCAACAGTGTCATCATTTTGCTGAGAGTTTCTGGCATCAGTGACTTTACCAGATGTCACTGAAAATATATATCAGATGGTGCAAAACCCAGTAAATGAGGCAAAAGCATGTCAAATGATCCCAAGCTAACTCTAAGTAGAGTATTCTAAGGTTTTTCTTTATTAGAAGGAAACTCACAGATAATAGCAAGTAAATAAGAATGGGGCCCAATGTCTAGGTGTAACTTGTGAGGAGAAGGAAGAGTGGGCCTCCTTGCCCACTCCAAAGCAATGCCTAAACCTGTCCAGCCTCTTAAAGACCATTGGCTGGAGGAGATTCCCCATCAAGCAGATTGCAGTTGTTATTCAAGTTCTACCCAACAGATGGGCAACTATCTAATAGAGAATCTTGTAAAGCAAGGCTTAAAAGACTATTGCCTATAAATAACTGTATCTGAGGCCCAAGTGGCGGAGAGACTGGCGTGCAGGCCCAAGCAGCTGAGAGACAGGCGCTCAGGCCCAAGTGGCAGAGAGACCAACGCGCAGGCTCAAGAGGCAGAGACTGGCGTGCAGATGTGGCAGATACAGGATAGTCCAAGCATGAAACAGTGAAACCCACACTGAGAGCAGATCGCCCCACTACAATTAAATCAAACCCATTAGAGAGCATCGATAGGAGGAGATGGGCAAGCACCAAGGCAAGAATTCACCCAACAATCTGAAAAACAACAAGAAAACACCAGAACCCAATGATCTTACAACAAAATGGCGCCTAGACGTCTGGACAACTGAATCCACTGAAAGTCTGAGAAAGCTTGGGAAAGAGTAAAGCATGTTTGTCTTCTTGGTAGCAACAATTTCTCAGGTCTACTCTGCTTGCTAGAGGCAAGCAAGTGCTTTCATCTAAGAGAGGCTTCCTGACTCAGCTTTAGCTGCAAAACCCTGCAGCTCATTAAGAGGTCCTGCCATGAAACACTTAAACAATTTTTTTTATTTTTCACCTGCATGTGTTTTCTTTTTTTTAATTTCTTTATTTCTTTATTAATTAATTAAAGATTTCTGTCTCTTCCCCACCACCGCCTCCCCTTTCCCTCCCCCTCCCCCAATCAAGTCCCC